AGGCTAGATTTAGATTATGCAAAGGGTTGCACTAGTTTTTTTAGGCTAGATTTAGTTTTTACGCAAAGGTTGCATTAGTTTTTTTAGGCTAGTTTTTAGATTTACTGCTAAAAGGGTTATCTATTTTTTATTAGGCTGTTTTTGATTTACTGCTAAAGGTTGCATCTTTTTATTAGGTAGATTTAGTTTTACGCTAAAGGGGTTCATCTAGTTTTATTAGGGCTGTTTTAGATTATGCTAAAAGGGTTTGCATCTTTTTTATTGGGCTGTTTAGTTACTGCAAGAAGGTTGATCTTTTTTATTAGGAAATTGATTTAGCTAAAGGTTGCATCAGTTTTTTAGGCAGATTTAGATTTACTGCAAAGGTTGCATCTGTTATTAGGTGTTTAGTTTTACGCTAAAGGGTTGCATCTATTTTATTGGCGATTAAGTTTTACTGCAAAAGGGGTTCATTTTTTTTTATTAGGCTAGTTTTTTTTTATGCTAGAAGGTTCATCATTTTTATTGGGCTGATTTAGTTTTACTGAAAAGGGGTTTGCATCTATTTTATAGGCTGTTTTAATTTTACGCAGAAGGTTCATCTAGTTTTATGGGCAGATTTAGTTTTCTGCTAAAGGTTGCATCTAGTTTTTTGGCAGATTTAGATTTACGGGAAAATTTTTTACTAGTTTTATTATAAAATTTTTTTTAGCAAAAAGGGTTCTCAAGTTTTTATTTTGTTTTAGATTTACTGCAAAAGGGGTTTGCTCTAGTTTTTTTAGGCAATTTAGATTTACTGCTAAAGGGTTTTGCATCTATTTTTTTTGGGGCTATTTAGATTACTGCTAAAGGTTGCACTAGTTTTTTTAGGCTAGATTTAGATTTCTGTAGAAGTTTTGATCTAGTTTTTTTGGGGCAGTTTTTGATTACTGCTAAAAGGGTTTGCATTATTTTTTTAGGCAAGATTAATTTACTGAAAAGGGGTTCATCGTTTTTTTAGGCAAATTTAGATTTACTGCTAGAAGGGTTTGATCTATTTTTATTGGGCAGTTTTTAATTTCTGCTAGAAGGTTGCATTAGTTTTATTAGGTTTAATTTAATTTAAATTTGTGAATTTTGATCAATTTATTAGGGCTAAAATTTGATTATTTTAAAGGTTGTTTATTTTATTAGGGTTTTAAATTTTTATGCAAAATTGTTATTTTAAGGTGATTAGTTTTGCTAAATTTTGAAAATTTTTTATTGGTAAATTAGTTTTTTACTGCAAAAGGTTGCATCTATTTTTTATTAGGCTAATTTTTGATTTCCCTAAAGGGTGCATCAGTTTTATTAGGTAATTTAGATTTACTGCTAAAGGTTGCTCTTTTTTTTAGGCTATTTTTTAGTTTTACGCTAAAGGTTGCATCTTTTTTTATTAGTTTGGATTTAGATTAACGGGCTAAAAGGGTTTCATCATTTTTTATTAGCTAGATTTAGATTAAATGCTAAAGGTTGCATCTAGTTTTATTGGGTTAATTTAGTTTACTGCTAGAAGGTTTGCTCTATTTTTTATTAGCGTTTTTAGTTTTACGCTAAAAGGGGTTGCATCTATTTTTATTGGTTTAGTTTTATAAATTACTTTTTACTTTTTTACTGCTAAAGGTTGCCTAGTTTTATTAGGCTAGATTTAGATTTATCAGAAGGTTCATCTAGTTTTATTAGGTTTGATTTAGTTTTACTGCTAGGGGGGTTCATCTAGTTTTTTTAGGCTAGTTTTGATTACTGTAAATTTTGCATCTATTTTTATTAGGCTGTTTTTAGTTTTACTGCTAAAGGTTGCATCTAGTTTTTTTAGGCTAGATTTAGTTTTACTGCTAGAAGGTTCATCTATTTTTATTGGGTTTTAGTTTTTGTTTATGAAAAAGGGGTTTCTAGTTTTTTTTAAAGGTTGATTATTTTTAGCTAGAATTTAACTTTTTTAAGGTGTTAAATTTTATGCTAAAAGGGTTCCTATTTTTTTTTCTGATTAGTTTTTACTGCTAAAAGGGTTGAAATCTAGTTTTTTTAGGCAGATTTAAAATTTATGCTAGAAGGTGCATCTATTTTATTGGGCTAATTTGATTTACTGCTAAAGGTTGCATCTAGTTTTTTTAGGCAGTTTTAGATTATTTCAGAAGGTTGCATCATTTTATTAGCAGATTTAGATTATGTAAAGGTTGCATCTATTTTTATTTAGGCTAGATTTAGATTTCGGGAAAGGTTGCATCAGTTTTTATTAGGCTGATTTAGTTTTACTGCTAAAAGGTTTTGCATCTAGTTTATTGGGTTTGGATTTAATTAACTCTAGAGGTTGCTCTTTTTTTTAATAGCTAGATTTAGTTTACTCTAAAGGTTGCATCTTTTTTTATTAGGCAGATTTAGGTAATGCTAGAATTGCATTAGTTTTATTGGGGTGATTTAGTTTATGCAAAATTTGCCTTTTTTTAAGGTGTTTAGTTTATTGTAGAAGGTTTTTTTTTTTAGTTTTTAATTTCCTAGAATTTGGCCTTTTTTATTAGGTAATTTTTTTTATGCTAAGTTCTCAGTTTTTTTAAAATTTTCGGTTTAAAAGATTACTGCTAGAAGGTTGCATCAATTTTTATTGGGCCCTAGATTAATTTTACTCTAAAAGGTTGCATCTAGTTTTATTAGGCAGATTTGATTTACTGCAGAAGGTTCATCTTTTTTTATTAGGCAATTTAGTTTTACGCAGAAGGTTGCATCTATTTTTTTAGGCTGGTTTTAGATTTACTCTAGAAGGTTCACTAGTTTTTTTACAGATTTAATTTACGCTAGAAGGTTGATCTAGTTTTTTTATTGGGAAAGAAAAAAATTTTACTGCTAAAGGTTGCATCTAGTTTTTTTAGGCTAGATTTAGATTACGAAGAATTTTTTACCTTTTTTATTAGGCTAGATTTATTTTTATGCTAAATTGCAAAGTTTTTTTTAAAGGTAATTGGGTTTTTTACGCAAAAAGGTTGCATCTATTTTTTTACTAGATTTAGATTTACGCAAAAGGGGCATCTAGTTTTATTAGGTTTGATTTAGTTTTACGCTAGAAGGTTGATCTATTTTATACAGATTTAGATTTACTGCAAAGGTTGATCTAGTTTTTTTGGGCTAGATTTGTTTACTGCTAAAGGGGTTGCATCTAGTTTTTTTTAGGCGTTTTTAGATTACGCTAAAAGGGTTGCATAGTTTTATTACAGATTTAGTTTTACTGCTAGAAGTTGCATCTAGTTTTTTGGGCAGATTTAGTTTTACTGCTAGAAGGTTGATCTAGTTTTATTAGCTAGATTTAGATTTAGCTAAAAGGGTTTGCATCTATTTTTATTACTAAAATTTAATTTCTGCTAGAATTTCTTTAAGTTTTTTTAGGCGGGGATTTTTTTTAATGCTAAAGGGTTCATCTATTTTTTTGGGAAGTTTTAAATAAGCTAAAAGGTTCCAT